ACATTCTCATCTTATCTCATAAGAGATACTCGTCTCTTCTCATGCATTAAAGCATATAAGTTATGACAAACATAACAACATCATATATCTCATATGACGTATTCTCATATCATGCATTAAAGCACATAAATCACGTAAATTCACATAATACATGCAATTATAATTTAAACTGATTAATGGTGGCGAATCTACCTCAAATTATCTCAAGTCTCGTAAAAAGTGGAGAGGGACGTAACCTCAATCTCCTAATCGTTCGTATGTTTCGTCTAGCCAAAATAGAAAATAGGTTTTGAATTTGTATTCCAAAATTTAAAGTTTTAAAGCGATAAAATAAAGTTTAGGGATTTAATTGGATTTTTATGAAAACTGAATTTGACAAGTTTAAGAGCTGAAAATAATATTTTCAAAGTAATGAGGCTAAATGTGGGAAATAAGAACTTCGGGGACTGATTTACTAATTATTGAAACTTTGGAGGACTTAAAATAATGTAAATAAAGTTCAAGGGCTAAATTGGAAATTATTGAAGTTGAAAATAAGAATTTAAGGACTGAAATTAAACTTTTCTAAAATAATGGGCTAACTGTTGAAAACAAAAACTCCAGGGGCTGTTATATTAAAAACGAAATTCTAGGGACTGAACTGAATACTTTTAAAACTTTGGGGCTTAGGGCTAAATTTCCAAAATCAAAATATAACAAAAATCATTTCTTACTCCCCTTTCTCTTTCATTTCGACAGAGAGAAGGGAGAAGAGGGGGCCACCGACGGCAATAATCGTCGGCCAGTAGGTCGGCGTCGCGCCATCGTTGCGTGGTGGCGCCGGTGCTTCGTGGGAGGCTGTGGGGTTTTGGTGCACGAATTGGGAGTTAACCGAGGCTTGGAGGTTCGAACTCTTGGTGGAAATTAAGCTAAAAAGGTTGGGGTATGAGGTAAGTTCTTGGTCCTTTTGTTTCTTATTTCTTGGAGCTGTTTGAGGTGGAATTTGGGTGAAATAGGGTTGTCGATTTTTGATAAAATAGGGGCCGTTCGGTGTCGGGGTTGTAGTTGGCGTTGCAGGTGGTTGTCGAGTGGGTGGCAGCTTCGGTTGTGCTGGGTTTGCATTGAGTGGTTCGATAAAATGGGTGTTTGCAGCTGGGTTTGGGTGACTGGTATCGAGTTGTGTGAAAACGGTGAGGTGGAAGGTGAACCCTATTGCAGTTGTTGCAACCGGCTTTGGTGGATGGGGATTTTGGCTGTGTTGAGGCATGCGAATTTTTGTGGAATCATCATGTTGATGATACTGGAAATGGATGTTCTAGCATCATCGAGAGTTTCCAATGTGAAACTGTATTGAGGCAAAATTTGAGGGAGAGTTTCTTACTCAGTGGTTTGGCCGCGTGAATGTGAGGAGTGGAGGGAAATGGAGTAAATAAAATAGTGAATTTTTAGGGCACAAATCCCTAGGTAACCAATTGGGCCAAATAGTTGGGCCAAACATTTGGACTGTAGAGGTTTTCAAATTGGGCCTAAATGGATTGGAACTAAATAATCAAGACTTGGGCTAATAAGTAATTGGACCTTAACTATTGCTTAAATATTTAAAATGATACGAAATTCGATACTTGAAAAATTAAACATTACTTAAATATTTAAAATGATAAGAAATTCGATACTCTAAAAATTTTCGGGATGAAATTTGATTTGAATTGATTTAAATTGGTTTTATAACGGTTAGACGAACACGCTTTAGCTTTAAAATTTGGGGTTAAAGCTTAGCGACATGTTTTTCAAGATAATAATTTAAAAGTCTCAGTCGCTACAGCTGTCATATATTCTTAGAGTTTCGACCACACCAATAATTAATTTGCTGGACTATTTTACTTTTTCTGCAGTTGAGAGACCTGTGTATGTATCTCAAGGATGCCATCTTTAAAAATGAATGAAGATAGTGTATGGTTAGGTGTATTGAGCTTCAAGTTGAGAGTTTAATCTGTAGTCTTGTGAGCATAAATCCATTATTGCCTGAATCCCGACACGAGTAATGAATGCTATTTCAGGCTCTCAATCTAATTCTCATTCACGTCAATCGAACTTCCCAATCCATCCGAGTGAGTATGGACTACAGAATTTCTCACAAGTCTTGACAAAAGTTGCAATTTAAAGACGAAAACGACATTAATAAAAGACAAATTGGGCTGGGCTACAAACTGGACCACATTTTGATGTCTTATATGGGCTCACATTTTCCCTCTATTACTGGACTCAGCTTATTGTTAGTTAGACCATCTCCCTCAAGACTGGGACCCTATCGGACAATGGAGGAACACATAGGGAACCTATGAAATAAACGTTTATTAATATCCCCTTTCATGTAACAACAAACTTCTGTTTTATAATTTAGCAACACACAAAATTGGTAAGAACATAAGACTGTAAAGTTCATGGTGTCGGTGGACTGTGTTAAATAATGCTTGGTCGAGTAGCAATAACTCACTTTACATTTGTAGACGTGCAATAATACAATTTGTGTGTCGATTTAATTAAGATTAAATCGATCGAAAATAAGAAGAGAGACTCAGACTAAGAAGTCAATATTTCAATGATTATTGATTAGGAATCTTTAATCTTCTTATCTGATACTTGCGTGCGTTCACTGTATTTCAATTTTTTCTTAGTCGTTGAAGCATCTAATCTAAATTTAATTTTTAAGATGACATAGTTTAACAGAATAGGAGGGTGGATTAATTTCATTTTAGGTCACTGAACTGTCGGCGAAAATATTATTTGCATTCAATAACATCATTTACTTTCAACATTAGTCCCCATGTTAACCCTCCCTCCCTTAACTCCCTTTTTTGAAAATGTGTCAATTAATCAGTTAGTGTACAAATAACTAGTAGATCCAGAATAATACGACAGCCACTCCTTCAACAGGATGAACATTGATCATTCAGTTTCTATACTGCACCTGTGGTACAATCCGACAAAGCGAGGTCTTGTCGATTATTTAGACGATTGGTGCATGGTAAAAAGTACACAAGATTGAACCTGTAGTACAACCCGACAAACGGTATGCTGATTAGGAGAGTCTGCGTCATACATTTTTAATTAGATTTTTTAAATCTCATTAACAAAATTTACATTAGTTGAGTTTACACACCCAACTAGATCATGACACGACTCCAACTTCTACAAGAAAAACAATGCAATTGAATTTATGTGTGTGATATTTTAATTCGATGTAAAGATTGAGTTTACACACCCAAAAAAGTGCATGGAATATTTAAAGTGTTTTGAGATTTTAAATATAGCGTTTTGACGTAACTTCATGTTGCATTTTCTATTTGTGTTGCCGCGCGTGCAACCTAATGTTTAACGAATACGAAACATGTTTGTTTGTTCCTTATGAGGAAATTTACCAAAAAAATATGTGAAAAGGAATACACAACTCGACGATATTTTGTTATACTTAGTATTACTATATGAAGACCAACCATTGCAAAATAAGATAATGTTTGATAATTAATTAAACCTAAGAAAGATACATTTTTGTCTGTTATACAAAAATTGTCTCGTCATCATCCAATGAAAATGCTTGAGAAATTTCTAAGAAACTGCTTTAATTAATTACCAAAATTTGGTAGTTCTCAAAAGCTCAATTAATTTAAGAGTAATGTTATTCATCTTTAGTGGGAATGAAAACACAGTTTATGTGGTTTTAAATGATATGTTAAATGAAATGTGAAATTAGATGACTTATTTAATTTCACGTATCATTTAATGTCACATTGAAGCCATGTAAACTGTGTTTTCATTCCAGTGGGGATCAATAACATTACTCTTAATTTAAACCAATCTCTCTCTTTTGAAGGGTCAGCTAATTAATTAGCCGAGTGCACGCCAAGATGGATCAAAGAAAACTATGAAAGAAAATTTATTGTTAGGAGACAAAAGGGCAAGTGTGTTGTTTGAATAAATAAACTGCGTTCCTTTTATAATGTTTAGAGTCATAAATGAGGTGGTTATATATATATATGGTCTTAGTATTGAGTATAGGTTGGTTTACTTTTAAAAGGAATAATCCAAATCGAACATTATTTTAGTATATAAATTAGGACTGGATATGGTCCGATTGGGTTCTGACCTAATCGAATTTTTGGGTATTTAATAAGTGGAACCGTCGAGTTTAAATTTAATTCTGGATCCGTTTGGGTTCGTTCCATTCGGTTTGATTTGGTTCCCGATTGTCGTACAATAATTAATTTTTTAATATTTACAACAAAGCTACGTTAATTAAACCAATGACATGTTCAATTTTAGCTCTTATAAAATAACGTAGTCCAATTATGTGATATTTTTACGACCCTCTTTGTTGAGTTTTTCATAAATTTACCTGTTAAAATCACAGGAAGATGAAAATAGCAGTTCACAATAATG